CTAGTGGGACCATGTACCTCCTGTGTCAGGTGGAGGTCCTGTACACAGGTTAGAAACCTGCGTGAGTGGTGGGACTTTGCCATCTGTTTCTCCCAGCAGATGTCTGGGTAGTTTAGGTCCCCCATGAATACCGCCTCTTTCACTTTTATGGTCTCTGAGAGCTGCCTCAGGAGCCCCGCATCTATTTCTTCCCCTTGATTTGGGGGTCTGTAGCAGACCCCTACCACCAAATCCCTTTCTCCTTGCCCCCCATGTAGCCTAACCCACAATCCTTCTACTTCCTCATCCTTTGATTCCGTCTTCATTAGGGTTGACGTATATTGCTCATTGACATAGAGCGCAACCCCTCCCTCCTTTTTCCCCACCCTGTCCTTTCTGTACAATCTCTAACCCTCAATATGTACTGCCCAGTCGTGGGATGAATCCCACCAGGTTTCCGTTAGCCCTACTAAGTCATAGGGCTAACGGGGGCCAAACTCCTTGTGTGGAGGCTGAATCCCCTGTTAGGGGTCCATAACCCCTGTGTGGGGGCAGCAAAATATATATTCATGAATTCATGAAACATATATTTAGAGTTCACTTTATTATTATCATAAGAGATATGCTTTAATACTGTAGATATATTAATAAAACATTGCCCAACTGATCGCTGTCTCTGTCTCACTCTCTCTCTCTCGTTATAGTGGTCTTTTGTTTTACTTGTGGAGGAACATGGATTCGGGGGTATTTTACAGAGTGACTTTGGAATTTTTTTTTATTAGGAATTTTTCAGTTTTCCAATAGGGAACACCAGAATTCCTGCTAGGAAGGCCAGTGGCAGGACCCTGCCTGCTCAGAGCTCGCACCTTGGACCCAGCTGGCTGTGGCTGACCTCCTAGCCAAATGGGGCCAGGAGGACATGCTAGACTGCCCAGATGGCAAGGTGGTGGCACACATGGCAGTTGAGCCGCACAAAGGCCAAGTGTGCAGCTACAGCCCCCTGGCAGCTGGCCCAGAGATGCAGATGCCTATGCTGCAGCCATGCAGACCCCATCCAGGTCTGGCAGGCACACAGTCTTGGGGCCAAATGCTGTTGCAGATGGCAGTAGGTCATAGCCAGGCAGCAGCCCCCACTGCCAGACTGCTGCAGCAGGTAGAGGGTGCAGGGAACTCTCAGGGCTGCTTGAGCAGTTCAGCTGGCACAAGGGGTAGTGTCCCCAGGCACCAACTGGCTGGGCCCCAGAAGCTCCTGAGAGCTAGTAGCCCTGAGCTACTTGCCAGGGCGGCTTTTTATACTGCTAGGGACAGTGCAGGTGCTGTCCCTGGGCTCTAGCTCCCCCTGGCTGCAGATCCGGGAGGAGTCAGGCAGGGTTATTTTGCCCCAAGTGGCACAATTTGCTCCACAACAAAGTGCATGTCTGAGCATGTGCGCTGAGGCAAAAAGCCCCAGCTCAAATTTGTACTGCTTCTATTTGAGCTGCTGCAAGCATACGTGCTTTCATGTGTGGGCGTCCAATGAGGCTTTTCTGATTTACATCAACTGGTTGTCTGCCCCTGTGTGTGTGTGTGTGTGTGTGTGTGTGTGTACTCTTTCCTGACATAGGTTTTCCTTAAGGTTTTCTATTCTCATGTTTGTTGTTGGTGTTTGTCTCTCCTCTCTGCTCTTCTCTTCTCTTTCTTCATACTCCCTCCTGTCTTCTTTTTTGTCATTATAACTTATCCTTTATGAATCTAGGGTCATAAAAAATTAGGGCTAAAAGGGACCTCCCTTGTTATAATGTAAGCTTATTTCTTCTTGTCCCATCTGATGGGGACACAGAAAACAATTAGTCATCAGTCTTTTTATAATAATGCTTTCCATATTTGAACATTTACCTTCTGTGGCAGCTCTGGCTCTGGCTCTTGTTTTGGGGCAGTCATTGACAGTGGCCCTAGTCCTAGCTCTAGGCCTGGCCCTGACCCCATGCCTGAGTTGATGCTGAAGGTAAGTGGCAGGGGAAGCTGGGGTAAGTGGCCAGGGGATCTGGTGTTGGGGGGTTGCTTATATATCCTTCTCTATTGCAGAGTTTCCTGCTGTCTCCCATGGGATGCAGGTGGCAGGGGGAGCCAGAGGGTGGAGAGAAAAGGTGGCAGGGGGGAAGGCACAGGAATGAGGGGCATGGGTGGGGGGAGACACGTGGCAGGGGGACAGATGACAGTGGTTCAGGAACAGGTATAGGGGGCAAAAGGCAGGGGGAACTGGGATCAGGGACAGGCAACGGGGATAGGTATAGCCATTGGGGGGGCAAAGGGTGTGGGGGGCAGGGAGAATGTGCAGGATACTGTAGAAAATTGGCAGGGAGGGCAGACAGCAGAGCAACAAGTATGGGAGGGGGAGGGGGCTAACTGGCAGAGGGAACAGACAGCTGTGTGACAGGGACAAGCATGGAGGGGGCAAAGGGACAGTGTCTGGCCCTTCACCGTCTGCCACTGCTTTCCCTGCTATAGTGGTTAGGGTATGTTACTTTAAGACAACCTTATAATAATTAGGTTCTATATATGTAAACTTGTAAGAAATGTATACTTTTCCATGTATAGAATCTATTGGGGGAGGGGGTCATCTTAAATTCAAAGTCATCTTGTATCTACAAAGTCATCGTGCATCTACAGATGCATCACAAGCAGGTCCAGGGAGGTGATCCTTCCCCTCTATGCGACGCTGGTCAGGCCACAGTTGGAGTACTGCATCCAGTTCTGGGCACTGCACTTCAAGAGTGATGTGGCTAGCATTGGGAGGGTCCAGAGGAGGGCCACTCGCATGGTCCAGGGGCAGCAGGGCAGGCTCTATGAACTATTCAGCCTCCACAAGAGAAGGCTGAGAGGGGATCTGGTGGCCATTTACAAACTCACCAGGGGAGACGAGAGGGAATTGGGGGAAGCTCTGTTCCCCCGGGCACCACCTGGGGTTACTAGGAATAACGGCTACAAATTGTTAGAGACAAGGTTCAGGCTGGACATCAGGAGACATTACTTTACAGTTAGGGCTGCCAGGCTCTGGAATGGGCTCCCAAGTGAGGTGGTGCTCTCTCTTACCTTGGGGGTCTTCAAGAGGAGGCTGGGCAGATATTTGGCTGGGTGATATGACCCTGGCATCCGTTCCTGCCTGGGGCAGGGGGTCGGACCTGATGATCTGTTTAGGTCCCTTCTGACCCTAAGCACTATGATACTATGATTGTATTTGGGTAAATAAGATAAGTTTCCTGGTCTTAGTAAACAGGTGACATCTGCCACAAACTCGCTGCCCTACTCCTGGTAAGTAACTTAAAATGCTGCATCAAGTTTTCATTTCTCTTTTCTTTTTTTGAATGAGAGTATAATAATACTTAGTTGTTCTAACAAGATCCTTGGCTGAAAGTTAGTTAAGGTATAATGTTTTCTTTATAAAATCCACTGAACAATTGAACTTCTGTTCTTAAACATTTAATACATTTTCAATTTTTTTTTTCTGAGCAAATGGTTGGTTAAAAAACTGTTACTGGAAAAGGACCTAGGGATTTTTACACCATCTGTAAGTTTATATTGGTATAAATGTGAAGTAAAGCAAAGTGAATGCACAATATCCACCCTATACTAGCATAAGCCGCATCACTATGGGGCTAAAGTTACACCTTGGAAAATCAGAGGTTATACAGGTATACCTGTATAAATTACATCAGTATATAAGTTATGTTTCCACAGTTGCAGTGAATTTCATCCTGTGATAATCATTTGCTCAATGAAAACAGGCTATTACTGGCTCCTTCTTCTCACAGTAGATGCTGTAATTAATTATACAAAATCTTTCATAGTTAGGGAAATTTCCCAAATATTTTTAAAATGTCAAATTCTGCATATTGCATTGTAAATATATATACAAGTGGGCTTTTTCCTGGGGAAATATATGAATTGATTATAGTCAATGAGAAAATCTAATCTATAATTTTCTTTAGAAATCACCTGCAATTGCTGTCCGTCCTGGGTCAACATTAATTCCAATTAACAACCTCAGTCATCTCCCAGAACATGATGATGATTATGGATATGAGTGTCTGGAGGGGAAAGATTGCACCAGCTTCTTTTGCTGTTTTGATGACTGCCGCACGGGATCTTGGAGAGAAGGAAGAATACACATCCGTGTTGCTAAAATTGACTCCTATTCTCGAATCTTCTTTCCAACCGCTTTTGCCTTGTTCAACCTTGTTTATTGGATTAGCTACCTTTATCTATGAATTGGAACATTTGACAAACTCAGAAAGGGATAATTTAATGCATCTTAAAGAAAGCTTAAAAAATTAGAGCTGGTAAAAAAAATCTCTCAAATGTTGGTGAATTTTGAAAATTTTAAAACATTGGAAGGAATTATAGTGACAGTTTCATAATATTTTTCCCCTCTTTTGATCAACTCTATGGGCATTTTTAAGTTTTGAAATTAGTAGGAAACTTCCTTTTTTCTGGTAAAAGTTTCCCTCACTTTTCTATTTAAAATGCAGTCAGGGATTACATGGTTAAATTGGATGACTATAACTTCAGAATTTCTTTCTTAAATGATATAACAGTTAAAATTTATAGCATTCTTACACCAAAGTTATCAACAATTTAATAAAATGGGAATACCATAATTGTTATATAATTCTCATGTCAACCTTTTCTATTATAGGTAACTTGAAAAATCCTGGATTTTTATAAATTCCTATTTAAAAAAGGTTGGAATAGAATGTTCCTTTAGTGACTTTAGCCATTTGTCTTCTGCAATATGTTAAGTGTGTTCAAGTGTGAATGCACATAATCAGAGTGAGAAGATGGGAACAGCATATTACATATATATTATATAAAAGCAATGGTAATTCTAGGTTTGTTTGATGCTGATCATTACATAGTTTTGTGCTTTCAACCTCAGCTAAGTTTTACACTTGCATGTTATCCATCTTTGCTTAGCTGTTGTGAGATTCTTGGACTTCTCAAGATAGGACAAAATCCTTCCATGCCTAGGTGGTGTTATGTTGCTCCATTGACTTCATCAGAACTCTGCCCATATATAGTATCAGAGAATCTGGCCATGTAGACAAGCATGTACTCATCTCTTCTCCACTCCCCCATCTATTTTGATTAATTTAACTGGACCTGATTGGAGCCTTAATGCACATCATAGTGGGTGCATCTATGCGGGATGCTTTATTGCACGGTAGACTAATCTACTGTGCACTAAAGTGTCACTATGTAACTGTGCAGCAGCTACTGCAAAATAAAATAAGATAATGCACAGTTTTCTACTACCTGTAAAAACAGGTAGTAGATTTACCATGCAAGAGCTACTGCACTGTAGTTCATGTGTAGACAGCTGACCGGGAGCAAAGTCTCCCTGTCAGCCCAGGCAGCAGGGGGCAGGACGATTGAAGCTGGGGCTGGGACACCATTCCCTGCCCTGGCAGCTGGCTGCTGCTGGACCCTCCACTCTATTCTTGAAGCTGGGTTGATGATATTGTCCCCTGCCCCAGCAGCTGCCTGCTGCCAGGCCCCTCCTCTCATCAGGAACCCTGCAGCAGGCAGATGCCAGGGCAGGGGACAATGTCTGCCTGAGTTCTGAGACTGGAGCAGGGGCTTGAGCAGGCATCTGCTCAAGGAAGGAGTGTAGGGCTGGGAAGCAGCTGCCTCAGAAGCAAGACAGCTCCCTCCAACCTCTGGAGCCCAGATTTCACCCCAGTGCCCCCTGCCAGCCTATGGCTGGCACCTGGGGGAATCTGGAGCTCTCCCACCTGCTGTAGGGCAGGAGTAACCCTGCACTGAACTGCGCCCATTGGGCGCACATGTAGATGAGCTTCCAAGGAAAGCTTACTGTGTAGTATTTTACTGCACGGTAAGCTTTCAGCACATTAATAATACATGTAGACATGCCCAATAGGATTTGTTGCTATAAATTTGGACCCACCATTGCCATGTCTTTCAAAGTCATTCTATTCAGACTTTAGCCATCAGAACAAAGTGTGTGGCCTTCTCCACTTCACTTACAGGGTAATTCAAGGTGGCATTGCTTCTGTTGATTTGGTCTGCTTCTTTGCATATCATTTACTAAGCCAGCTCCAAACTTTATGAATATTTTCAATCTGGAATATGAACTTATTTTTAATAGTTTCTTTAATATTTGTGTATTTTATTAGAAGTTCCTGTTGTGCAGAAAGCAAAAAGTAATGATTATTTATTTCAAATAATTCTCCGTGGTGAGACACATACCTGAACATTTCAGGACCCAGTCCTGCAACCTCTCCACAGATAAAATGTCCATGCACTTTGGTAGGATTTCTCTAAGTGATTGGCTGTCCAGGTTGCTCTTTAAATGTTAAATATTGTTGGCTGACAAAATTAATTACCACTTTTAAATTAGGGTTCTTCACTATGAAAAAATATAATCTTTTCTGCTTTCTCTCTTATGTAGACAGTGAAACTTGCCTTAAGTGAACCCATGAAAGTCAGCTCCATAACTGAGATATTCTTTAATTAAAAGTCAGAATTACATAGAAGACCTCAAGGTATGTTGAAAAGGATTTGTGGGACAAGGAGATGTATGTGAGAGACGGTGCCTCGTGCAGGTTTTATGATATTAGAAGCTATCTCCAGTAGATAAAAAGAAAGAAAATCACAGTGAACAATAGAGAATTATTTATTATATTAAAAGGGAGCACCCTAATATCTATTGAATATCATCTCTTCTCTAGATTACCACAGAAAATATAACCTGTTTTTATGCTACCTAGTTCCACAAGCAATTGGATTTGATATACAGAACACAATTCCCATGTGAAACATGAGAATAATATCTGACCCCAGAACTTAATAAAATATGCAAACAGAAGTTCACTGATTCTGAGAGAAAGCAAATAAATGGTGAGCATTCTTTAAAACAAACTTTATTACAATATTATTTGACTGAATAATTGCTTCTCTTTTGGGGAGAATTCAAAAGATGCCACTGATCTTATCAGACTTCAGTTTTTTGGGTGACCTTTTAGAGTTCACCCTCCATATTAGATTTAGGGTAAAAGTGAGGCAGCATTTAACAACATTTCCTGAGCTACTGTAATATTGTTCTTGTTTAGCAGCCCAGTTTCCAGGATACATTCAATAACATGGAAACATGCCAATTCACTAGGAGTGTAGTTGTGATATTTTAACTGTACCTGGCACAGCATTATTTGTCTTGGAAAAGATGATGTGTGTATGCAGGTGAAGGTGGTTTCAGTAGCGGAAGGTCAGATGTACCCTGAAGTACAATGCTCATTGTAAAACAAAGGCCAGATCCTTTCAGGTGCCAAGCTCCATCAATTCCCCTTTAAATAAATGGAGCTTGAAGAACTCAGCACTTCATGAGAGGGAATCAGTTCTTCACAGCCCTAATGAGGCTGCTCTCTTTTGACACATGTAGTTAGTTATTCCTATTTCATGTAGTTGTCACTTGCCAATCAGCCTTCAATGATTGAATTAGAAAATAAAAAACATCCTGAATTGGCAGGGGATGAACAAGAAGTCTTTCATCTCTAATTTCTATGAAACAATATAATAGAGTATTAAAGCTATTGAATGTTATGGCTGTTTGGCTTATAGATACATTTGCTTCTGTCTGTTGACAAACTTTTCTGTGTACCTCATTCGTTACTGGTGAAATCATTCTAGCTTTTCATAGTTGTGTGCAAACAGAAATGGGAATGCACTGAACTGTAACTTGGCATGTAATAAATGTATTACTTTAGCCCTAAGTGTTTCCTTTCTAATCTTCACATAAACAGTTCCCCATGATACCAAAATGTCTAAATGACTTTTATGGAAAAATGGCAAGAAGCAAAGATTGTTCTTACTTGAAGATAGATGTGGGGATTAGTTTTCAAAGTATAACTATAAAATGGAGAGTGTTTCATTTGCTGTGGTATGACACTGTGGGATTTGGAGTCATAGTTTTGCACTATAGCCCTGTATTCTTTACACCAATTAAGTAAATGTCTTAATCCAAGGTGGCCAACTTGCAGCACATGCAAGTAGCACAATCCCCTTTGATGTGTGGGCAGATTGGGTAGGGGGAAGGGAGCATAAAGCAGAGCAGCAGATCAGGCGAGGGGAGGGGAGTGTTACTCAGGAGGATGTGGGGCTTAATTTGTGGCCTACCTGCCAAGATGGTTGGCCCCACTGCCTTAATCTATCCTTTTTCAGCAACCACCCCCCGACAAGAATCCAGCCTGGATTCAGGAAAGCACTTAAGCATGTATATAAGTACTGCCCTAAAATAGTGATGCTTTCCTGAATGTGGATTTTAGCATGCTTAAATTATGGTGATATCAATGAGCAGTAGTTGGAAGTTGAAATGATTGAGATACAAGGATATTGTTTTATAGGCCAGTAATTTCAATGGAAGGTTTTCTCACTGACTGCAATGATCTGTGTATCAGACTCTATACAAAAAAAGAATGGTGAGAAAATGTGGGGAAAACTTTGTGAAACTGTACCTAATATTGGAGAGTTCCTGAAATATATTTTGCAACAGAAAGACCATCTTCAATGATATTTTTGCAGTCCTGTCGGTCATCTCTCTGTAGTAGTCAGTGCTGCTGTGTTATTCTGAAGCAAGATTTTGTGCATTTGACTTTGCCTCATTGGATTTCACCCCTCTGTGTTTGCATGCTTCTGTTTCATGTAGCAGTGGGACCAATCAAAGTATGAACACTTGACTAAATATGCTTCTCGCTATTTTTGTCAACACGCTTCAAAAGCTTGAGATTTATCCAGTCTTATAACATTCAGTGACAGGGGTATTGCAGTCACACTCTAAGAATCACCTCAGACCATGTTACTTTGCCTCTGTAATTACATATGTTAATTCAGGCTTTGTCTTAAGTGATGTGCGAAGTATGCTTTGTAACTTGATCACAATAAGGTGAACTTGTGGCCTTTCACTTGAAAAGTCAAAAGAAAAAGGTCAGAATGGCTAAAATTATTTGCATAAAATTAGATATATTCTGTTTAGCAATGTCAATCATCTCAACTGACACTTAAAACTAGTCAAGAGTAAAGAAGATTACCCTAATTTATATTCTTAAATTTCCATTAATATTTAAAGCTAAATTGCATACCTCATTGTCATTCTTCTCTGTATAATCAGGCTTTCAAAATGATCTTTTATCTGTTTTTGTTGTACCCGGATGAAAAACCTGAAGATTTTCACTAGTATATGTGTCCAACAAGTGGC